TTGTCCTTCATAATACTAGTAGCATATTTAAAATATGGCTAAGGGTATCGGGTAAGTACAAAGCAGGGTTCTTTTTCATATTACTGCTCTATGTTCCTATCCTGAGTAAGGTTGAATGGTTTCTGGCTTCTGGACTCATTGATAGTCTGTTTAATTTACAGATTTATAACTGTTTTATTATACTGGAAGTGGTATAAAGCTTGATATATGTATAAACAACTGAATCTGTCTTATTAATGTTATTGTTTAATAGTTTAAATTGGTTGAATGTGGAAAAACAAATTTAATATCAATAGACAATACTTGTGTTTAAATCATGAAAGGATATGGTTCCTTACTTTTTTTGAGAATTTTTTCATTTTACTGATAATCAAAATTATAATTAATGTTCAGCTGATGAAAAAGTATTGAAACTTCCGAAGCCAAAAACAAATTTTTTGAAGAAAACTTTTATATATTCTGGTTCTCAAATGTGGAACAGTTTGCCAAATAAAATAAAGATGAGTAATGCACTTTTATCTTTTAAAGCAAAATGTTATGATTTTTTCCTGAAGAAGGCAGATTTATATGTTTTTTCATTGATATTTATATAAAATTGTATATTGTGTATATCATTATATAATGATGTAATGTACTTTATGTATATGTTATTATTATTTTGAGGACTCTCAGGTAGATTACTTTTAATTAATAGGATTATCCTCTTGAAATTTATTTATTTATTTATTTATTTATTTATTTATTTATTTATTTATTTATTTATTTATTTATTTATTTATTTATTGACCTCTGGATGTCATTTGATTAGTTTGTTGGTGTTATTGGGTTGCTGTCTCATTGACAAATACTCCCATATCTCCTTGTATGTCTATTTGATCTAGATAAAGAGAGAAGACATTTTGTTTCCCTCTAGATGTGTTTTGGTATTTAAGTGGTTGTGTTGCCAGTCTCATAGACATCTACTATATGTAATATTGGGTAGTATCATAGATTTTTGCAAAATTTTATATACAATTAAAAATCAATAGGTTGCATTTGAATATTGAAGAAGAAAAAAGATACACGTAGCTTGTATACTTCATAGATTCAATCAATTAACAATAAATGGAAATGTTCATCAGCTATCAGTTAGATATTAATGGATACTTTCATAGTAATCAATTAAATAAGAACTAATGGAAATGCTCATAGTAATCAATTAAAAACTAATGGAAAATTCTGGGGATGAAATTTCATGAAACCTTCATTTAAAGTAAATGCATTCTTTTGTTTCTTTTCACATACAATTTGTACAGTTATAGATCTTTTCCCAAAATTTTTAATAGTTTGTATCATTGGAAGTATAAATGCCACATACAGTGGATGGACACATGTATTTGTCACCAACAATTTTTCTCGATTTATTTCATATAAAGCATATAATTTTTATGTCCCTGTCTTGGACGAAGGGTGCATTTAGGTTTACCCTTGTCCGTCTGTATGTACGTATGTACGTCCATCCCGAAATTCTGTTCTTTAACTTTAGTTTGCCTCAACCAAATGGTATGAAACTTTGCTACAATGCTTATTACCTTTTAGCACAGATCAAGGTAGAATTCACCATTCTGAGTTATGTTTTTTATAAATTTATAAATGGAAAAATGGCTGAATTTGTCGTTTCTGGACTTATTTTTTTTACTTTACTTTGCCTCAACCAAATTTTATGAAACTAACACACAGATGAAGTTCCAATTTGGTTGGTGTCACTTTCAGGGTTCTTGAGTCATGTCCCTTTAATAATGGAAAAAGTGCTGATTTTACCGTATATTTACAAATGGGGACATCTGTGTCCCACATTCTTCTTTTATTTTTTTAAATATTTGGAAGGTGGTTGTATTTGAATATTTACAAATCAGTTATATTTGTTTTCTCTTGATGTAAACACACTGATAATAGTTTAAGAATTTATTTTGGATGACATATATTGCAAATTGCCTGATAATAAATAAAACTTGTGTTTAAATCATCAGAAAAGCAAAATGCTATTAAATCATAACAAAATTTTAATCAATTAAACAAATAAGTATACATGACAATGCTTTTTTCTACTGGTACCAAGTTGACTAGACTCCACCATTGGAAATGACCCCAAATAATTTAAAAAAAAAAGAAGGTTTTTATATGAAATATATATATATATATATATATATATTATATATATAAAAAAATCACAAGTGACAAATAGTTATGTCCGGGGGCTGTCTTTTTTTGACATTCAGATACAAATTCAAAAAGTTTAAATGCATACAAATTTTTATAAAAATATGAAATCCTGCCAAATTCCATTTGCTTCCCCTTATTTCAAAGTCGATGGCAGAGTTCATAAACACTGCATAATAGTTACACTGGTACAATGTCTATATGTATCTGACTTGTCATATTAAAGTCATGTACAACCTTCTGGTTATTCTGTAATATGCCCACTATTTTCAACATATTAAGGATGCCTTAATTTTAAAGGAAAATTTGTTAAAATATAAAAATAGATTGCTGCATAGAGACATCTCTCCCTCATAGACCAAATGACTTAGAAGTAACCAATTACTGGTCACTGTATGGCCTTCAACAATGATCAAAACTGATACTGCATGAAACCAAAATGTTTTAGAAAATCAACTGTTTCATGACTAAATAATGCACAAATACATGTAAATTTTGTATGGATTTCAAAGTTACTTTTTTAAAAGTATTGAAACTTTTTATAGTAGTCTGCCATATACATATATGACCTTATTTGAGAGAATCATCAAAAACAGTCATTCTTGGTATCTAACAGGGATGGGGTAATCGTAATCTGCAATCGTAATCAATTGTAGTTGATTTCAATTTCCCAGTATAAATCGACAGTAAATATGTTTTCTTCAAAATTTTGATTACATTATCGTAATTTAATCAGTTACAGCCAAAAATATCATGTAGTCATCAATTACTTTTCAATAACTTTAGTAATAAAGTTTTATGGAATAGAACCTAGTTTAAATGCAAATAGACAACTGCATGTATCCTTCAGTTTATTGTGTAGATAAAATAGAATGTATAGATATGACTTGAGAGTATATAATTTTCAAATGTCTAATTCAGATTTATTTTTGTCTCAAAGCTGCCTTGGGTTCAAACAGATTTTCTGAAAAATTTCACTGTATTCCAGCTTTTTAAACAAATGACCAACAATGCTTGAAAATATTGTAAGACTTTTTATATGAAAAAAGGATAAATAGTTAAAGTTAAGTTCTGTACTACATGTCCATTGAAGGATAAGGCTTGATTTTATTCAAATTCCTTAAAGCATAATTACCAATAAGAGTTAAGAGTTTTAGCTTGGTATATTTAAACCTTTCATTTATCATAGTGTTATGATATTATAGGATTAAGAAAGGATACAAAGTCATTTTGACAAATAAGAATGGTTACAAAGTCATCTTTACATTGAATCATTGTATTTAAATTCTTAGAAGAAGTAATAGATACATGCACTTATATCTTGTTTTTTACACTAAAAATATATTATAGTGTTTATAAATTTACATAGAGAATAAAGAATTCCTAACTTCCTTCTTTGCTTCACTGATCAGATTATCATAGACTTTAAATGAATGACATGCAGACTTTGTTTTGATTTCAATTAGGTAAAAAAGATTAGTCACTTCACTAGCAAAGTATGCAAAATATTGAGCAAATCACCCAAATAAAAAGATGTGACCTAAGTACTGGTTAAATTTGTTCTAGGAACTTTATCACTATTTATTGTTGTTGAAAATCCAAATTTCTAGAATGTTGCTATTAACATGATTAATTTGGTTGCTTGGTTTGAGCTTCCATCTATATATCAACTGTTTGATTAAAACATAACATTAGGAAACAATGATTTAAATAGTTCCAAATACATGTATGTTGAGCAGCATATTTGTGTTTAATTTTCTTTAGTTATTTTCTTTTATTTTGGAGCATGTAATTGACAGTAATCAAAAAGTAATGTAATAACTTTTGATAAAGTAATTGATTAAAATTGATTTCAAACAAAAATCAGTAGCATAATATTTTTACATATGTGGGTAGAATCATAATTTTCATCAATTTCAATCAATTTTCTTAAATATTGTTGTCAAATAGATTAAGAAATAATTCTTTCATGAAAAATAGGCGAAGGATACCAAAGGGACATTCAAACTCATAAGTCGAAAAATAAACTGACAAAGCCATGGCTAAAAAAGAAAGAGACCAACAGACAAACAACAATACACAAAACACAACATAGAAAACTAAATACTGAGCATGCTCATGACATGCTCTATATATATATATGCTCATTTTAACATGGGAAGGTATTATACTTGTCAATATCTAAGCAGTAAAATGTTGACAACTATAATGCCTACCCATATTAAAACGAGCATAGAGCATGACATGATATTATTATTTCAATTCTAATAGGAAAATTCAGAGCTTTTGTACTTCAAAATGGACCTAGGGAAAGGCAACCATTTTGAATTGATGAAGCACAAACATTCTCAAAAACCAACTGTTTCACGATTAAAAAATGAATTGAACCATATAAACTTAATTACTCTGAATAACATTTTTGTTTTTTAAATTCCCAGCAATCAACACAAACAAAAATGTTAATTTTGTTCTCCAGCTTTATTCAAAATATAATTGATGATGCAAGTTTAATTTTGATGTCATGCACGTGCACCCTGTGTTCTTTTTTTATAAGAACAATTAAGGCTTTGTTTACAAAGTGAAAGAAGAGCATACATGACTTATTAGAATTGCATATATTTTTGTTTTCAATTCAACAACACGCATACTTTCGGTATCCAACAAAAGAGCTCTACCATTACATGATAAAAACAGGAGTTGATTAAGCAGGTAAAATAATTATCCAGTATTGTAGTAAATAGCTGAAATTTTAAAAGATTGAAAATCTAGAAATATCCTATTTATTTTTTTTTTCATTTTAGAAATCACAGAATGGAGTAAGAAGTAGAAAGACAAATGATATTGATATTACAAACAACAATACTGATCAAATACAGGTATATTAAGTCTTTAATTCATACTGATCAAATACAGGTATATAAAGTCTTAAATTCATACTGTTCAAATACAGGTATATAAAGTCTTTAAATTCATACTGATCAAATACAGGTATATAAAGTCTTAAATTCATACTGTTCAAATACAGGTATATAAAGTCTTTAAATTCATACTGATCAAATACAGGTATATAAAGTCTTTAAATTCATACTGATCAAATACAGGTATATAAAGTCTTTAATTCATACTGATCTAATACAGGTATATAAAGTCTTTAATTCATACTGATCAAATGCAGGTATATAAAGTCTTTAATTCATACTGATCAAATGCAGGTATATAAAGTCTTTAATTCATACTGATCAAATGCAGGTATATAAAGTCTTAACTTCATATGGATCAAATACAGGTATATAAAGTCTTAACTTCATACTGATCAAATGCAGGTATATAAAGTCTTTAAATTCATACTGATCAAATGCAGGTATATAAAGTCTTTAAATTCATACTGTTCAAATACAGGTATATAAAGTCTTTAAATTCATACTGATCTAATACAGGTATATAAAGTCTTTAATTCATACTGATCAAATACAGGTATATAAAGTCTTTAATTCATACTGATCAAATGCAGGTATATAAAGTCTTTAATTCATACTGATCAAATACAGGTATATAAAGTCTTTAATTCATACTGATCAAATACAGGTATATAAAGTCTTTAATTCATACTGATCAAATGCAGGTATATAAAGTCTTTAATTCATACTGATCAAATGCAGGTATATAAAGTCTTAACTTCATATGGATCAAATACAGGTATATAAAGTCTTAACTTCATACTGATCAAATGCAGGTATATAAAGTCTTTGAATTCATACTGTTCAAATACAGGTATATAAAGTCTTTAAATTCATACTGATCAAATACAGGTATATAAAGTCTTTAATTCATACTGATCAAATACAGGTATATAAAGTCTTTAATTCATACTGATCAAATGCAGGTATATAAAGTCTTTAATTCATACTGATCAAATACAGGTATATAAAGTCTTAACTTCATATGGATCAAATACAGGTATATAAAGTCTTTAAATTCATACTGATCAAATACAGGTATATAAAGTCTTAAATTCATACTGTTCAAATACAGGTATATAAAGTCTTTAATTCATACTGATCAAATACAGGTATATAAAGTCTTTAATTCATACTGATCAAATACAGGTATATAAAGTCTTTAATTCATACTGATCAAATACAGGTATATAAAGTCTTTAATTCATACTGATCAAATGCAGGTATATAAAGTCTTTAATTCATACTGATCAAATGCAGGTATATAAAGTCTTAACTTCATATGGATCAAATACAGGTATATAAAGTCTTAACTTCATATGGATCAAATACAGGTATATAAAGTCTTTAAATTCATACTGATCAAATGCAGGTATATAAAGTCTTTAAATTCATACTGATCAAATGCAGGTATATAAAGTCTTTAAATTCATACTGTTCAAATACAGGTATATAAAGTCTTTAAATTCATACTGATCAAATACAGGTATATAAAGTCTTTAATTCATACTGATCAAATACAGGTATATAAAGTCTTAACTTCATACTGATCAAATGCAGGTATATAAAGTCTTAACTTCATACTGATCAAATGCAGGTATATAAAGTCTTAAATTCATATGGATCAAATACAGGTATATAAAGTCTTAACTTCATACTGATCAAATGCAGGTTTATAAAGTCTTAGATTTATACTGATCAAATGCAGGTGTATAAAGTATTAACACCATACTGATCAAATACAGGTATATAAAGTCTTAAATTCATTATACTGATCAAATGCAGGTTTATAAAGTCTTAGATTTATACTGGTCAAATGCAGGAATATGAGGTCTTAAAATTTATACAGATCATATATAGGTATAAAAAGTCTTAAAATTTTGTACAGATCATATTCAGGTATAAAAAGTCTTAAAATTTTGTACAGATCATATATAGGTATGAAAAGTCTTAAACTTTTGTACTGATCATATATATAGGTATAAAAAGTCTTAAAATTTTGTACTGATCATATACAGGTATAAAAAGTCTTTAAATTTTATACTGATCATATACATATATAAAAAGTCTCAAAATTTTGTACTGATCATATACAGGTATAAAAAGTCTCAAAATTTTGTACTGAACATATACAGGTATAAAAAGTCTTTAAATTTTATACTGATCATATACATATATAAAAAGTCTCAAAATTTTGTACTGATCATATACAGGTATAAAAAGTCTCAAAATTTTGTACTGAACATATACAGGTATAAAAAGTCTTTAAATTTTATACTGATCATATACATATATAAAAAGTCTCAAAATTTTGTACTGATCATAAACAGGTATAAAAAGTCTTAAAATTTTGTACTGATCATATATAGTTATGAAAAGTCTTAAAATTTTGTACTGATCATATACAGGTATAAAAAGTCTCAAAATTTTGTACTGATCATATACAGGTATAAAAAGTCTTAAAATTTTGTACTGATCATATACAGGTATAAAAAGTCTCAAAATTTTATACTGAACATATACAGGTATAAAAAGTCTCAAAATTTTGTACTGATCAAATACACTAAGATTTATACTCATCAAATACAGATAATATACATTTATCGGTTGTCCCTCTATTTGTATCACTCTGCTCAGCTCTTAATAAAATTGCATATCACAACTTTTTGACGTCAAATACTTAGACCCAGCCTTAAAAACTTTGACCAGGACATATCACCGACGTCATAATATATGAACCGAAGTTGATAAGTTTGACCCGAACTTATCACGTCATCTTCCAGTTTGCTGGTGAAACAAAGAAAACACTTGTTTCTATCATGCAAAATAAGCAAATACAACCTGATAAATCGATTATCTGGTTGTATGCATATTCATATTGTAATATATCAGCTGCTTGACACAATATGAAGCCTTTTTGATTTTGTTCGCTGCGCTCACTCGACAAAAAGCTTCATATTTTGACTCGCAGCTGATATTTTACGATATCAATATGCAGACAACCTGATGATGGGTACATATAAGTCTTAAATTCATAAATGATTGGCGTTTTAGAATACAAAGACATTATTGACTATATCCTATATGTTATAATTTTTTACCTCATATTTTAAGCAGGTGGAGTTATTATTAATAAAAGGACTTGTGTGGTGAAATTCTTTGAAACACTGGTCACAAATACTGAAAGCTTGCTCAAAGCATTTAATCTAAGGGCTACTCCATTAAAATGTATGTGGGAGGGTAGGAAGGGAATTTTAATTATTGAATGTGGGTCATGGGTCTTTTTTCAGAATGCGTCTATTACCATTATGCAAAATTATCTAAAAAATGGTTCTTGGTTGTAGGGATATTTTGAAAGTCCCTTCCTACCCTCCCACATACATTTTAATGGGATAGCCCTAATGCAAAGCATGCCCCATCCACTTTTATTTCAACAGCTTAAAATTTTCTAGTTACCATTAACAGCTTCAATGAAATTCTGATTTAATGATTTAGTTTAAAATAAAATATCTAATATCTTATTGAATATCCAAATAAAAATATTTAAAATTTTAAAATATTTATTATGCAATATCATTGATTTCAACCACATGTAATATACCATTTAAGTTTTAAGAACAAAACATCACACATCAATATATTTATTCACAACAAACAAAATGCCTTTTGTTTACCAATAAAACATACTATATACATTCTTCCCACCAACTTTTCAAAATCTCCATGGGAGATTTAGAGCACAATGAGATATTGTGCATCTCTTAAACATGTCTGAAGTGTTTTAAATTAAATATCTACGGTTTTAAATGAGTATGTTAGTGCTTAAATGTAAGTTTAACGGCTTTAAAGTCTGTTTTGAAATATTTAGTGTATGTGATAAGAGGACTGCCTCAGAATTTCAAGTATCAGGTCAACACCTCTCATTGAAGAGATCCCCCATATATCAGAAAAGTTTGCAGGTCTTCATGATACATAAGCATGAACACCATAAAATCCAAACATTTTGCCAGTTTCACAAATTACATTTTTTGGCAAGGTGAGATTTAACTCTGACCAATGTAGGGGTACTAGTTCACATGTCCCAAGGCATTGGTCAATGTCAGCTGTTCCAATTTTTATACGACCGCAAAAAATTTTTGCGGTCGTATATTGGTATGACGTTGGCGGCGTCGTCGTCCGAAGACACATTGGTTTTCGCACTCTAACTTTAGTTTAAGTGAATGGATCACTTTGAAATTTTACCATAAGGTTCAATACCACAAAAGGAAGGTGGGGATTGATTTTGGGGGTTATGGTACCAACAGTTAAGGAATAAGTGGGCCAAAAAGGGGCCAAAAATAAGCATTTTGTAGTTTCCAGACAATAACTGTGGAACAGTGTATGGATCTCTCTGAAATTATACTACAAGTTTCCATACCACAAAGGGATGGTTAGGATTTGCTTTGGGGGGTTATGGCTCAAACCGTTTAGGAATTAGGGGCAAAAAAGGGGGAAAAACAAGGTTGTCCTGGTTAATGGACAAATACTTTAGTACAAAACATAATTTAAAGCAGTGTAAGGGAGATAAATCATATACATCATTGAAATTATCTCCCTTACACTGCTTTTAAATTATGTATAAAGTAATGGTTAATGAACAATTAAGATAATTTAAAACAGTGTAAGGGAGGTAATCCAAATACAAAGTGTTGGTAACTTCCCTTACACTGCTTTTGAATTATGTTTAAAGAAATGCATATTTATAAAGGAAGACCAGTAAAAATATCTGCAAATGTTGCATCTTTTTTTTTTACAAAAAAATCCATATGAAAGATTTGACACTATATTTTAAATTTTATTATAAAATAGATTAAGTTAGCACTATGGTAAATTAAAATGGATAATTATGGTTGCAAACTCCATTGGAAATTTGAATTGAGACTATGACCATATCTTAAGGGAAAGAATTTTTTGTGGGAAAAAAAGGGGGGGGGGGGTAAAAAGAAATTGGGGGGGGGGGGGGGGGGGTCAATTTTTTCTCATTTCAGATTTCAGAAATTAAAAAGAATTATTCTTCAAATATTTTTTTTTTTCAAATTTCAAATATTGAAAAATTTCAAGAAGTAATCTTTAATTGCACAGAATGGCGCATTAGATTTGTAAAATCTTTGACCACATTTATTTATTTGTTATGCTGAATCTAACCGTGTATTTAGATTTATAATTTTGGGTCCAGTTTTCAAATTGGTCTACATTAAGGTCCAAAGGGTCAAAAATTAAACTTTGTTTGATTTTAACAAAAATTGAATATATGGGGTTCTTTGATATGCTGAATCTAAACATGTATTTAGATTTTTGATTTTTGGCCCAGTTTTTGAGTTGGTCCAAATTGAGGTCAAAAGGGTCCAAAATTAAACTTTGTTTGATTTCATCAAAAATTGAATTATTGGGGTTCTTTGATATGCCAAATCTAACCGTGTATTTAGATTTTTAATTTTGGGTCCTGTTTTTTAAATTGGTCTACATTAAGGTCCAAAGGGTCCAAAATTAAACTTAGTTTGATTTTAACAAAAATTGAATTCTTGGGGTTCTTTGATATGCTGAATCTAAACATGTGTTTAGATTTTTGATTATGGGCCCAGTTTTCAAGTTGGTCCAAGTTGGGGTCCAAAATTAAACTTTGTTTGATTTCAACAAAAATTGAATATATGGGTTTTTTAGATATGCTGAATCTAAACATGTATTTAGATTTTAGATTTTTGGCCCAGTTTTCAAGTTGGTCCAAATTGGGGTCCAAAATTAAACTTTGTTTGATTTCAACAAAAATTGAATATATGGGGTTCTTTGATATGCTGAATCTAACCATGTATTTAGATTTTTTATTTGTGGGCCTGCTCTCAAATTGGTTCATATTGAGGTCAAAAGGGTCCAAAATTAAACTTTGTTTGATTTCATCAAAAATTGAATTATTGGGGTTCTTTGATATGCCAAATCTAACCTTGTTTTTAGATTTTTAATTTTGGGTCCCCTATTTTAAATTGGTCTACATTAAGGTCCAAAGGGTCCAAAATTAAACTTAGTTTGATTTTAACAAAAATTGAATTCTTGGGGTTCTTTGATATGCTGAATCTAAACATGTGTTTAGATTTTTTATTATGGGCCCAGTTTTCAAGTTGGTCCAAGTTGGGGTCCAAAATTAAACTTTGTTTGATTTCAACAAAAACTGAATATATGGGGTTCTTTGATATGCTGAATCTAACCATGTATTTTGATTTTAGACATTGGACCATAATAGGTAAATTAAAAAAATTCAAGTTCTTAGACCACATTCTTTCTGTGTCAGAAACCTATGCTGTGTCAAATATTTAATAACAATCCAAATTCAGAGCTGTATCAAGCTTGAATGTTGTGTCCATACTTGCCCCAACTGTTCAGGGTTCGACCTCTGCGGTCGTATCAAGCTGCGCCCAGCGAAGCATTTTATTCTAGTTTTCACGGGTCATTTGTCCATTTGTGAATTTTTAACAGAAAATACTCCAAGATTGATTCGGCCGTAAAAAACACCGAACTTCAACTTAAGGGTATGAATAAAAAAAAGATGTGGAGAAAATGCAATGAGACAGCAACTAATTAAGTGTCTATCTTTTTTAAAATTTTGTTTGATGTCCCAAATCAGTCATCATTATTGCTATAAATAAAATTAAAAGTAGAAGGTGTAACTAGTAAAATTGTATTTTTTATTGCTTTCCCTGTGAATGTTAATGTATTTTGAAAAATGTTTGAAGTTTAGTTATGGTATAAGTAGTTCAGATTGCATCTTCATTTTTTCTAGTTGACCTATTTTTTTGCCCATTAGTATGAAAAATTTCCATTGCACTATTAAAATTTTGATTTTGTGAAAATAATATTTTTCATCACTTGTCAATTCTCTTTGTAGATATTGAACTTATATTTGATTTACAATTGTATAATGAAAAGTTTCAATATACTTATTACTTTTCATTCTGGTTGACAAATTTTGACTTAAATATAGTCATGGGATTTGCCAATATATCACAAAATTGACAGATTCTTCATGCTTCTCAGCTTTCGGTCATCCTTAGGGATATTGTGCGTGATATTTGTTTTTTGATTGAAAATGAGTTGCTAAATGTGATATAAGTTTTGTTCTAGTTAATATACTTAAATGTTACATCTATATTAGTACAGCAATGGGACTCAACACAAACTCATGAAAATGAAGTCTTTAAATTTGCTTTGTATTTGACCATATATGGAAATGATAGAGGTCAAGTTTGATTTTGATGGTTTTCACTTTTGCCATTCAGGTCTTTGATTGCTTGAAAAACGATGAACAATGTTGTATCCATGCAATAAATTGAGAACTGTTCTACCAATCCTTTTCAGTTTTAATATGTTGTTCCTCATGACAAAATGATGTCAAGTTTTATTTTTGACAATTTTCACATTTGCCTTTTTCATGAGTTGTGGCCAATGGTCATTGATTGATTGATTGGAAAAGGGTACTTTTTGTTTATTCCTTGCAATGACTTTTAAATCATTTAGCCATATCTTTTCAAAATATAATTTGCTTTTCTTATTACAAAATGGAGGTTAAATTTGAAATAATTATTTAAGGGTTTCAAAGTAAGGTTTTTATTAGGCTTTGTTGTGGCTTTTTAACTACCAGACACTTCTATTGTTAGAAATCTTTTAGAAACATTGGTCAATAGTTACTCCGAGAATGCTTTGACATTTGACAGCCCTTTTAAGGACTTGCTTAGGTTTAAAAAATGCCATCAGATGTCAGAGCAATCTCTTAACTAGTCAACCGTATGCATACATGGTAAGCCATATTTTATGGTTCACTGAGCATGGAACATGGAAATGTGATAGTGCAAGAGTGGGGCATGGTGTCCTATGCACACATATTCTTGTTTTATGGACTTTTGGTAAATGATAAAAACCAATGTAAAAGTCAATACTGTAATCTGTCACTACAGCTAGAATGACAAGATTGTTTTTTTACACACTTATATATGATATATTTATAGGAGAAAATTCAATACTGCACTTCTTTAGATATTATGTCTTATCTCAACAACGAACACCATTTAATTCTAAGGACTTAGCTATTATTTGATGTGGGATCAAAATCAAATTTTGGTAAATTTTTATGATATACTAACATGAGTTAAATGTTATTTTATAGAGCACTTATCTATATAGATTTGTTTAGATTTACAATGTTAATGATGGTAGATTTAAACACTCTGAGAGTTGTGTTGACACAGCTACAGATAATTTAAAGTCAGATAGGGACATTTACCTCCTATTTTGTTGGAACAGGGGTATCATTTTTATAGGAAGCATTGCTCACCAAAAAAAGCAGATAAAAAAATTCTGATGATTATAAAAAAATCCCCTTGGTGACAAATATCTTCTTGTGAAGAAACATTTTACAAAATTTGCCAAAGAAAGGACACTTTTAAAACTTTCTGAAATGTCTTAAACCGTATAGAATAAATAGTCTATCGAAATCTCCCGGAGTTAATATATAAAATGATCTTGGAGATAAGCTTTAACTCACAGAATTAAATGGATATGTATAAAAACAATTTATACGCAAGTTCTCTCTATATCTAGAGGACTGTATGGTCTTACATAAAAACAAAAGCATTAAGTAAGGTGATAGATCAGGTTTAGGTGATAGATCAGGTTTCAATTTAAATTCATTCATTTGAATAAACAGTTTTAGTACAGTAATTACCTATTTAAAGTAAGTTCTAAATTCGTTAAAATTGTCTTGTTTGAAAACACGTCAAGCCTACAATTTGGTCAGGTGTTGAATTGATAGTTGTGCCTAAATTGGTTGAAGGGTGAGATTAAAAACATCAATGAGCTATTATATTGTTATTTATTAGTTGTATATAATACCTGTTATAATGTCATCTTACTTTAAGCCCTGCTATAACATTTTACAAAAATGTATGATTGGAATATTGTATGCCCGGCCTACAATAGTAGTGGGGCATTATGTTTTTCTAGTCTGTGGGTCTGTCCTGTATCAGGTTAAAGTTATGGTTTAAGGTAGTTTGTGGTCACATTATTTGAAACTTTGTATGAAGTGTTCATTATTAAGTGAATTGTTAAATACAGCAGTTAAGTTCTTTTGGAATTAAGTTTGTTAGATTTTATAGAATGGTGTAAATAAAACAGTTTTGAAATAGATTTTCCTGTCTAAAATTTTATGAAAAAAATCTCACAAGTGCAGAAAATTCATACAAATTCAAACTCACTCATGTTTTCTTGTTTGAAATCATGATAAATATTCAATAGAACGCATGTTTTCAGTTTAAAAGAACCAAAAAGTAACGTCAAGAATTGAAGCTCGCTTATTGTGGTCTTTGAGACAGACTAGTAATAATGTCCAATATTAAAAAAAACAGTTAAACTTAAAACTTTCGTTTCGTTTTGCAGGATGGTCTCATTGACTGGTCGAAACCAATAGTTTGGCAGGTACCCAAACTTGGTGACAAATATTTTGATTGGGTACATGTTCCTGTAGATACCCATATGAGATTGTTCCAGTGGGATTTTGTAGAATATTTTTCCCAGTGTTCCTGGTATATAGTTCCTATATTCTGGATTCCTGTGATGCTTACCTTAATAGGATTGTCCTATTATTCATTGGTACAGAATCCAGTGGAATGGCCAGCTGATTCTTCCTATAGTAAGTTTTTCACGGTTAATGCAGCCATGTTGAATAGGGGGCAGATTTTCATAATGGAGGTAAAAATGGTTTGAAAAATACGGGAAAACATCATTGAAACAGAGCAGTTGCTTGGAAACATGCATAGGTTTCCCCGTACTTTCATACTTTTTCCACCTCTATCTAATAAACCTGCCCCTATTCAATATGGCTGCATTAACCGTGAAGTGGCCTTTTCTTCCTGTAGTTAGTATTACACAAAAGTTTTGATCTTTGAAGGAAATAAACATTTTACAATATGTTTTTTAGAAAATTGATTTCATTTGAATGAAGTGGATTAGTTAATATAAATATATATATATAGATGAAATATTTTTTTATGAAGAGGGGAAAAAAACTTTCCAAATTACACTTTGACTTCTTAGTACCAATTGAACTTTGTATACCTCCTATTGAATTTTTAATCAGAAACAATTTTTGAAAAATTTCCTTTATATTTTATTGTCATTGTAATGAAACTTTAAAAATAAATTTCATAACATATATGTATTTCAAAATCTTTTGCAGTTTATAGGTTTCTTTTTCAGTTTAACTGTCCTTTGTTATTTATATTATTGGAGGAAATTAAGGGGAAAGACATGTTTTGTGCCAAAAAAAAAACAGGAATCGCAGTTATGAAACAGTAGCTTAATTTTAAACAGAAATTTCACATTATTTATTTTATACAGTTGATACTGTCTTCTTACTGTGAGTCCCATGATCCAATCTTTTTCCGTAAATTTGTCTATAGTAATAGAAAAAAAGAGGAAACATTTGTACTATTCTTTTATTTTTTAAAAACAAATTCTTTAATTAACAGTTTTTATTTGTATTGTAGGTATAACAATAAATGGATGGAATGCTTCCTTATTATATTTACTTGGCTTGTTGTTCTGGACTCTGGAGGAGTATATCATTCACCGCTGGTTATTTCACATGAAGCCCCCAGCAGGATATCCGTCTCTCATATTTGTACATTTTCTGTTACATGGTCAACATCATAAGGTATAACATATAATGCAGATAGAGTGAGAGACCCATATTTGCCACATAATTCGTTCATTTCCACTTACATCCGACCTACATTCGAATATTTGGAACTTTTTATGAAGGTTTCAGAAATTTAACTATATGAAAAAAATGTTTGATAAAGAAATTATCTTCAAAACATTGGTTAATTGTTCTTAAAACGAACGCAAACTCGAGAGGAAATCTGAAGTTGTTCGTGTACCATGGTGGACACATTTTCGCCGCAATGTATGATATGACCATCCTCATTATCTTGGAATATTATAAAAATGAATGTTTGCAATTACATGAATTAGCTTGAGAGATCATTCCTATACAATTTTTCTCACAAATATTTACTTTAAGACTGCGCATGATTGCCATATAAATCTTACATAATTGCAACAATCATTTAAAAACACCTGCGTATTTCTCAATATGTGTGAATAACCTTGGAAATGGGGTAAAGAGGAATATCAACAGTTGTAACATTACAAACAGCCTTTACCATCTATTTAGGCAAGTATTGGGTAAAGGCACACAAATTTTACAGAAAAAATAGCAAAATGGCGAAAATGTGTCCCAAGGCGAATATGCACCACCCACTCTATATAGAATAAGGAGATACATACATTAAGTAGTGTTCTCTTTCAGTATTTTCAAATAGCACCAAGGGTTTTGAATTAGCATTCATACCCTAAAATTATAGCACCACATTTATTATATGCTTTAAAATACTTTTAATTATAAAATGTATTCAGAAAGCACCATGGTGAAAATATAGCATCACGGTACCATGGTCAGTAAAATGCTGTAAAGTAAGATGCAAAGTTTTGACACATAAAATGATTGTATGGAAATTTGCTGGGAAAAAACTTCTCATGAAAACTTGAGACAAAATTATTTCTTTGGTAAATGATTTTGTAGCTGATTCAAACTTCTTTGGTTTCTACCTGAGAAATCACCTCTAGGTATTACAACTTTTCTTCCTTCCACAGCAGATTCAAGTGTGTTGATAACTGTGTTCTACCACTATGATTTGGGCCCCTGTAGTAAAAAAAAAGAAAAATGTACGACTATGATTTATTATCCAATATCTTGCCATCAGTTTCTACATTCAAATGATGGCTTTGAAGTTTACTACCACATGTACCACCCTACAACAAATTTTACCCTACCATATTGAATTTTATTATATGAAGATCAGTCATTTCTGGTATGTTTTTATTAAAAATTTGCCTTTTGATCTTATCATATTTGGGAAGAGGTTGACACATATTTTTTATTGTATAATGCATAACACAAATTGTGAAATGACATTACTTATTCTTCTGTTTGTTGTGTCAGGGTCATATTTTACACACCTGTATACTAATATAAATGCATAGAATTCATAACATAGTGACAATTATGTCATAGTGATTTGCATTTTAAAGTAAAATTTGTTTTAAGGTATTATTAAGTAGTACTAAAGTTTTTTTTTTTTTAAAGTGTCTGTATATGAATATAAATGCATAAAATTCATAACATAGTGACAATTATGCAATAGTGTTTTGTGTTCTAAAGTAAAATTTATTTTAAGATATTATTAATTAGTACTCAAGTTGTTATTTTGATAAAGTGTATTTTATTATAAGGTTAATGACATGGCTATATTTTATATAATCCCAGAAAAATGTGATAATGAGATCTGAACCAAAATAAACAAGTGAAAAATTGAGCAGCTGATGTGAATACCAATATGATATTTTGATACTTTTCTTTACATTGTGTTGCTTTGTTTTTATTTTGGGTTGATAATTTCTATTTATAGTGTTGCTTTGTTTTTATTTTGGGTTCATATTTTCTATTTAAGGTTATCTTCTCATCTTCGGATGCCAAACTGTTAAACTTATTTTAATTTTGGTCTGATCAAATTCTTTATAAGGTGTTGCTTTGTTTTATTTTGGGTTGATATTTTCTATTTTTAAAAGTTATCTATTTATTATCATGCATAACTGTCAAGTGGGTTGCTCACAACAGTTTATGCAATAACTTTCTGACCTTGTTTGATTTTTAACCAAACCTAGGACAAGTTCAGTTTTGATTGTTTTTACTTTTGTATTAATTTTTATCTACCCGCTCGACTGCATTAGTTGGTATATAGGAATCCTCATGTCCATCTGTCATGTCTGTCACACTTTTGGTTTCCAGATGATAAATAGAGAACTGTTTTTTTTTAAATAAATGTCAAATGTCCTTAATCATCAGTTTAATCCTTATGGGAGTTACTGCCCTTGAATGTCAATTTTACCTATTTTTATTGTGTTTTTTCGAAAACTGAAGAAGATGGAGAGAAATTGTATATATAGCCCTTGAATGGTTATTTTTACACTTTTTTGTATTTTTGCTAAAAACTATTGGAGATAGAGAGAGAAACTTTAGAAGGGTAATCCATTAGCAATTTAAGATCTGTAAATAAGTAAAAATGTCTGAAGTTGATAGTGGAATTCTTATAGTGTTAATTAATGATTTTTTTTACCAATTTAGTGTTTTTCTTCTAAATCATGAAAACTGTATGGATACTAAGATAGACTGAAACAAGATTTTGGTCCACACAGTTTCTATTCAACACAAATAATCTTATTGCATTGTATCATTTTTATTCAAAAATGTCAGGTGAGTGATACAGGTTCCTTGGAGCCTTTGGTTTACCTTAGCTTTTAAAGGTCGTTCACAAGCATTTTAATGTTGGAGAGAACAATTCATATTTAACACATAAACTTATAGACCACTTTCGAGCTATGTCCTTCACCGGAAAAGTTCGTCAATTATGCGTGCCTTTATGACGTCATTTACCATATAGAGGGGGCCGCCTGTATCCCTACACTATAAAAGGTGCATTAGCTGTCAAATTCATGTTCACCAATACTAAACTGCATATCCAATTATAAAAAGTCTAAAATAAACATTTTAAGATGCATAGACTCGATTTTATGTATCAGCATTTCGTGTGTATTTTAGTCCAGATGCCATCTAATTAACTATGGAGTTGACATCTGAGGACTACGACGTTCAATTATAAGCCTGGTACCTTTGATAACTATAATCATATAACCAGATATAAAATAAACATAGATATAAATAGATTGCGAAATTGTGCAATTGAATTTTTCTAGGTCTGTTTGATTTCATATTATAGGTTGAAAAAACATGTTAATAATCGTTTTTACCTGTATAAGAATGAGTTTTTCTAGATTGAATCAGTAAATCAAATGGTTTACCCTTGTTTCACTTCCAATGTTTACATTCTTTCCCATTTAATAACAGAACATGCCTATTTCATTCGTAATCCATCTCTCGCTATACATGCTATAGGGATCAATTACAGTTCACATGAATACGGATTGAATGAAGTCGAATTATTCACTTGCAAGTGAATAATTCATTAGCGATGTCTCTTTGCTTATTTTGACAAAACTGAACCAAACTGGCTGTTAAAAGCAAATTATTATTTCACTATGTCACTTTCATTAATGATTGAACAAAAAAAAAATCTTATTTTATTTTTAGCTCACCTGGCCCGAAGGGCCAAGTGAGCTTTTCTCATCACTTGGCCGCATGGCGTCCGTCGTCCTTCCGCGTCGTCGTTAGCTTTTTACAAAAATCTTCTCCTCTTAAACCACTGGGCCAAATTTAACCAATCTTGGCCACAATCATCATTAGGGTATCTAGTTTAAAAAATGTGTCTGATGACCCGGCCAACCAACCAAGATGGCCGCCATGGCTAAAAATAGAACATAGGGGTAAAATGTAGATTTTGGCTTATATCTCTGAAACCAAAGCATTTAGAGTAAATCTGACATAGGGTAAAACTGATTATCAGTTTAAGATCTATCTGCCCTGAAATTTTCAGACAAATCTAACAACCTGTTGGGTTGCTGCCCCTGAATTAGTAATTTTAAGGAAATTTTGCAGTTTTTGGTTATTATCTTGAATATTATTATAGATAGAGATAAACTGTAAACAGCAATTATGTTCAGCAAAGTAAGATCTACAAATTAGTTGTCATGACCAAAATAATCAGTCGACCCCTTTAGGAGTTATTGCCTTTAATAGTCAATTTTTAACAATTTTTCGTAAATTTTTGTCATCTTTTACAAAAATCTTCTTCTCTGAAACTACTGAGACAAATTTAACCATACTTGGCCATAATCATTATCAGGCTATCTAGTTTATAAAATTTGTCCGATGACCCCGCCTTCCAACCATCATGGCCAACTTGGTTAAAAATAGAACATAGGGGTAAAATGCAGTTTTTGGTTTATATCTCTGAAACTAAAGCATTTAGAGCAAATCTGAGAGGTGGCAAAAATGTTATTCAGATTTAGATTTATCTGCCCTGAAATTTTCAGACAAATCCGACAACCCGTTGTTGGGTTGCTGCCCCTGAGTTAGTAATTTTACAAAAATTTTGCAGTTTTTTGTTATTATCTTAGATATCATTATAATATCTAATATCTAATACTATTAATTATGATTTTAACCTTATTTTACATGATTTCCAAAGCATCAGTAAATACAGGTGAGCGACACAGGCTCTTGAGAGCCTCTAGTTTTGATATCTCGTAGCTAATGTCCCTCTAAAGTTCATCAAGCATCTTCGTGATGGTGATTATGCAGGATAAACAAGAAATGATGTTTGTTCCCTAGGTACTTAATCACAATCCCTAATGACAGCAGTCATTATTATCTATTACAAGAATTTAATTTGCCGAATAGTTTGTACAATATAGCATCATATTTTTTTCAACCACTTGCTCAACATTGGAAGGAAGTGAGGATGCCCGGGCTAAACGCACAAATGATGTTCATTAAAACCAAAGTTTATGGCAGAAATGTAACAAACTCGAAAGTGGTCTATTACCTTAGCAAATTTGTCCGAAAACTTGAATCAGAGTTTAGAAGTGATTATAAAAAACATAAAACAGAATCTTTCAACATTTTTTTTTCAGACACCTATGGATAGTAAAAGACTAGTTTTCCCTCCTATTCCAGCCATTGGCCTGGGGATGGTTATGTACTCTTTATATTGTTTGTTTATGCCATCCTCAGCAGCACTTATGATGTTTGCTGGGTCGATTGGTGGCTACCTGGCATATGATATGATCCATTACTACCTTCATCATGGTGTGCCATCAACAAAATATTTTAAATCACTGAAAAGATACCATGTCAGACATCATTTTGAAAACCAGCAAAAAGGTAAGATTAGGTTAATGTCATTGGTATAAACGTATTGAATACCTACACATTGTCTCAAAATATCAAATTAGTTTGAATAAAATTGAGAATGGAAATGGGGAATATGTCAAAGAGACAACAACCCGAAACCAAAGAGCAGACAACAGCCAAAGGCCCCCAAATGGTCTTCAATGCAGCGAGAAAATCCCGCACCCGGAGATGGTCCTCAGCTGAACATGTTTAAGAAACGGGTAGAACACTAGGCTTTACCTATTATTTCTTTCGTCTTCTGTGTTTTGAGACAGTTTGTGGTTGTTCTCTTTATACTGCAACTGTCAAAACTGCTGCAAATATAATATATTGGGTAGAACAGGTTTGAATTTGTAGCATATAATATAAAAGTCATAAAGTCAGAGATAATACTCTTCACCAACACATGACATAGTTGCTGTATAAAACTGTCTCTTGGCTGCTGGTCTCAAAGTTTAATTACATCAACTGTAACAATTTTTAAAAGATATCATCTGCATATAATAGTCATTGATGAATCGCTGAAATTATTCATATGTTCAAGTTTTGAAATTATATTTTCTGAGGCATCCTTTAATGAACATTTACATGTTTGTTTTTAGTGTGGTTTCATTTTAATTGTTTGATCCAGATTTATTAGTTATATTTGGAAGAACTTACAACTAACTGTCAGATTCTTGAAGGGTTGGCATAATGAAAAAATAGTGAATATATATTAATATTCATGACACAAAATTCCTACATGAACTTTATAAAACCAAAAGCAAAGCAACAGTACTTTTAATGCTGTTCTCTAAGTCACAGTGATGCATTCACGAGAGCACAAAATCAATTCCTAGTAAACATGAAATTAAGTGACAGATGAGGAAGGACGGATCATATTATGGAAAATGATAATCATTACTTTTATTGCACATGTTTTAATATTTCAATTTCAAAATTGTAGATATAATAGAAAAGAAAGGATATGGGGGTATTTATCAATGATATTAAATACTCAATATTTTATACACTGTTGTATCTGTAATGTACAAAAACTAGCTCATATTAATAAAAGGGGTTTTTAGAGCTAGGTCAGTGAGACAATGACTTTTTATGTCATGCATTTTAGGCCATGCATTTTAGGCCCTTACTGTATTGTAGATAAATGAACTCCCCATGACAGTAATGCTTATTCAGTATACTTGAAAGTGCAGGTTATTATTAAGATTTTGAAAGTATGGATATATAAATAAGCTAGAAATAGAATATCATATTTGCAGATTTATTTGTCTTCTTTGATGTGAGCATTGACGTGTTATGAATGTTTTACAAAAAGAAAACACCTGCTGTAGTTAACTTCATATTATCATTAGCATTATCATTATTGTTTCTTTATTTATGTTTATGTGAAATTATTATATGTAACATGCCCTTTATGGGCCACTGATTGGTTTAATAAAGTATTCATATTCATATTGGTATTCGTATTAAAAAATGTTTTTTACATTAACTTTTCAAATTGTAGGTTTTGGAATTTCCTCCAAGATGTGGGATTATCCATTCCATACCCTGATTGAGGGGTAAACTTGTGGCCTTACAGACTTTAATTTGCTGGAATGTGTATGGTTCAATCTTACACTAACATAACTAGGATTTCCAACAGATCTGCTACTGAATGGCCATTTTCTACCTGTAGAAAAACAACACATCTGCTGAATGGCCAATTTTCTACCTGTGTAAAGACACGCTCTGCTGAGTTAAGATATTTTTCCTGTATAGAGCATCACCTCTAGATAGTGGATCTTTTCTTCCTTCTACAACTGTGACAGCAGATTCTAATGTTGTCAACTGTGTTCTACCGCTAGGAATCCAGCTCCTGTTTACAACAAAAAACGTACGACTACAATTTATTGTCCAATATCTGGCCCTCAATTTATACATTCAAATTTTTGGAGAAGACATTACTTAGTTGAAAAACTTGAGTCTGATCAATTTGTACTTTTGAACAATAAGATATGTTTAAACGACATTCAAATGATGGCCTTGAAGTTTACTACACTTACAATAAATTCTAGTCGGACATTTATGTATGAAACAGAGATCGATCCTTTTTAACATAAGATAGATTCCTTGTCTCTTATGAAATATTGACGAGGATAGTTTTGTTGTTTACCATACATTATCTTTCTTCCATCCCCTTGTACAAAAATATTATATAATCTGTCTGCTTATGATTTTTATACTTGTGTCATTTGCATATAATTTTATGAAGCCAAAGTTTTTGTTTTGTATTCATTTTTTAATCGTTTTTGTTCAATCATGCGGAAAATTTAATTCAATTTTTAAATGGTTTTCAAGATTTCAAATTTTATAAATTACAAATTTAGGGGTGCATCAATGCTATCTCAGAATAAATTTTGGCAATTTTTCTGTTGGAAAAGAAAAAAGGCAATTGGAAATTTTGATTTGAATTTCTCCTTATGTGTCTCATTGAAAGAAAGAGTTATGGATAACAAAAAAATCATAGTTAATTTTCATATTCATGAATTCATTGGTTGAATAGAACAGGTTTATGAACATTTATAAAAAAAATAAAAAATTGAACAAATGAAAATTACTTTAAAGGGGCATTAGCTACTAGATATACAAAAAAATAAAATATGATTTTTTTGTTCAATCATTAATGAAAGTGATATAGTGAAATACTAATTCGCTTTTAGCAGCCAATTTTGTTTAATTTTGTTAAAATAAGATAAATAACATCGCTGATGAATTAATCACTTGCAAGTGAATAATTGGACCTCACTGAATCTGTTTTCATGTGACCTTTAATTTAACCCCTTAGCTGGAGATGGGTTACGCATGTATTCAGCTATTAAAAAGAAAAGAATGTCAACATTGAAAGTGAAACAAGGACGAATCATATGGTTGACTGATTGGATCCACAAAAAATCTTTCTAACACAGGTAAAAAGGATGATAAATATACTTTTTAACCTACAATATGAAATCAAACAGACCTAGAAAAATCCAATTGCAGGTGGTCATATTCAGTTTATATTTCTATTTATGTTTATATCCGGTTATATGACCATCAGCAAACTTCAGAGTTCATCTCAATGGTTGATTAGATGATGTCTAGACAAAAATACACACGAAATGTTGATACATATTATTGAGTTCATGCATTGTTAATTGTTTATTTTAGACTTTTTGTGTGTAATTTGGATATACATTTTAGTATGTTATAAATCAAATATGAGAATTTGAGTCAAATCGGTGAAGAGAAATTTGACAGCTAATGCCCCTTTAAATGTTTATTCTTCCTAAGTTATTGATTACCCTCTAACTTTTTTAATAAGTCTTTTTTATGCCCCACCTAGGGGCAATATGTTTTTCGGTCTGTGCGTCCGTTCATTCGTCTGTCTGTCCGTCTGTCCCTCTTTAGGTTAAAGTTTTTGGTCAAGGTAGTTTTTGATGAAGTTGAAGTCCAATCAACTTGAAACTTAGTACACATGTTCCCTATGATATGATCTTTCTAGTTTTAATGCCAAATTAGAGTTTTGACCCCAATTTCACAGTCCACTGAACAAAGAAAATGATAGTGCGAGTGGGGCATCCATGTACTATGGACACATTCTTGTTTTGGTATATTTTAGAATAAAATTTTGGTAGAGTGCTTTAGATATTTCAATTATTTTATATAATATAATATTCTTTTTGAAATTAGTAGTTCTATTTTCATGGGTCTATAATTTAACTACATTGAATTTATCAGCTAAAACTATTGGAATCTCAGAATTATTTTTTTATATCGATATCTATACCTGAAAACTGAACATAGTGCTACTAAATACAGCAGAGTGCCACAACTACTTTTAACAAATATTTTGATAAGATTAAAGTTGTTCATTATTTAAGATATGAGCTGCGGATAGAAATGGACCTTATGCAAGTGCACTTATACATGTACATGTATAAAACTTTGATTGATTTTCGAACATTCAGATGTGAAATGAAAGATTAATTTTGGTCTGTTTTGTAGGGTTCTTATATCAACTCAATTTTCAAACAGTTTCAGACTTTGTTTAGAGATTTTTTCAACCTGAATTAAGTTAATAACAGATGTATTGATATTTATTTGCATAAGATCGATTTCTATCCGATGCAGCTCATATCATATGGTATACTATGTGTTGTTGGTATTTATTTTCACACCAGGCTTTGTTCGAGGTTTCTGCATTATATTACCTTTACTGTGTTCACTGTGTTCATTGTTTTATTTGCTTTTAGGCCTAGTACAAGATATATACACTGAGTGTCTCTGATCATGATGAGTCTTTCATAGACGATGCGAGCATCTGGTGTACTAAATTATAAGCCTGGTATCATTGATGAGGTTTTTAATTTTGCGGTCGTATATTGGTATGACGTTGGTGTCGTCGTCGTCGTTATCGTTGTCCGAAGACACATTGGTTTTCGCACTCTAACTTTAGTTTTAAGTGAATGGATCTCTATGAAATTTTACCATAAGGTCCAATACCACAAAAGGAAGGTTGGGATAGATTTTGGGGGTTATGGTACCAACAGCTAAGGAATTAGGGGCCAAAAATAAACATTTTTGTAACTTCCAGACATAACTTGTGTGTTAGTGTATGGATCTCTCTGACATTGTACCACAAGGTTCCATATCACAAAGGGAATGCTGGGATTGATTTTGGGGGTAATTGCCTCCAAATTTTAGGAATTAAGGGCCAAAAAAAGGGGCAAAAAACAAGCATTTTTCTAGTTTCATGACAATAACTTGTGTGTAAGTTTATGGATCTTTATGAAATTGTAGTACAAGGTTCCATATCACAAAGGGAATGCTGGGATTGATTTTGGGGGTAATTGCCTCCAAATTTTAGGAATTAGGGGCCAAAAAAGGGGCAAAAAACAAGCATTTTTGTAGTTTCATGACAATAACTTGTGTGTAAGTGTATGAATCTTTAAGAAATTGTAGTACAAGGTTCCATATCACAAAGGGAAAGCTGAGTTTGGGGGTAATTGCCTTAAACGTTTAGGAATTTGGGGTAAAAAAGGGGCCAAAAAACAAGCATTTTTCTAGTTTCCAGACAATAACTTGTGTTCAAGTGTATGGATCTCTATGAAATTGTACTGCAAGGTACCATACCACAAAGGGAAGGCTGGGATTGAGTTTGGGGGTGATGAATCATAAGGGGGTTCAAAAAATTGGGGGGGGGGATTTTTTTTCATATTTTTTCTTTAAAATTTTCCATTTTAAATTGGTTATTTCTGATTTATATATATAAAAGCAAATAATAATGATATGGTTTGAAAAGGTAAATTAAAAATTTTTAAGTTGTTAGACCACATTCATTCTGTGTCAGAAACCTATGCTGTGTCAAATATTTAATCACAATCCAAATTCAGTGCTGTATCAAGCTTGAATGTTGTGTCCATACTTGCCCCAACTGTTCAGGGTTCGACCTCTGCGGTCGTATCAAGCTGCGCCCAGCGGAGCATTTTATTTTTTAAATGAACCAGTAAAAACAATGTGTATATTGATAAATGTAAAATTCATACCGGGAACATAGCAAAAATTAGATAAATACCTAAAATTTCCAATATACAGTTACAAAAAAATCTGTCTGTTAACAAATTTCTGAAAATTGGACGATTATAGCCCATGAAACTTTTTTAAATGTGTTTATTTTATAGTATTTTTATATTTTTGTTAGTCAAATCTGAACTGTTTATTTATCTAATGTTAGTTTGTTGTCAAAAATATTCTGTTGCCATAGTGATGTTATTTATAAATTGGTTGTGTTGTTGAAAACTATTATCATGTTATTCCACCCTAAGACCTCATATATTTCCCTTTAGTGTTTAAATGATAATGTATATTTTGTTGATTTTATTTTATGTATAATAAGTAATAAGATATTTTGATTATATATAATTGCAAAGAAGGAATATCATATAGTAATTCATGACACAAAATAGTTACACACACTTGACACTTGTACTTGACACTTCAAAACCCAAAGCAAAGAAAAAGTGCTTTTATAGCCGTCTTCAACTTAAGACACATTGAGGCCTTCAACATAGAGCTTGACTTCACACCTCACTGCAAGGTGGAGATAGCTTGTAGCACAGGTTTGGGCATAATTCTGTGCTTAATGTTGACAGCTCTACATCTTTGTTAAAAACATTTCCTAGATTTTAGAATTGAGAATTAATTTGTAATGTGGAAAAATTCTAAATAGGGCAAGTTAATTTACTAGTTATAATATTATTTTCTTTTTCCCCTAATTTTTTGCCTATGCTATTTTTACAAATACTTTATTGAATAAAGCTAATACAGCATTTAGTGCAAAAATAGACCAAATAAGAAATAAGGGGAAAAATATTAAATCTACAAATCTGTTGATATATAAATATATATATATGCTCTTACATATGTAAGACAGTAATTATTTGACAAAAAATTATTAGATTTTAAGTATTTAGAATTTTGATAGCCTTCTAAATTTTAGTCGAGCAATGTAAAATACTTTTTGTTTTGTTTTGCTTTTGTATATGTTTTTTTTAATTATCTGTATGTGTTCTTAAGAGTAGTTGTTTTCTGTTTTTTTTATACTGCAATTGAAGAAATCCACATGAAAATATTAGACAGAATTTTTTTGTTTTTCACATATAAACTTCCTATAAATAGTGTAAATAAGATTGCCTCTACAAAAATGATAATTACATATTCCTGCATTTGACAAAACATCAGGACATTGATTTCATTCAAAATCAAATTTATAATATAATTTATATTGGAAAAAAATTTGAGAAATCATGCTTACACCATTGAACAGAATAACTAAATTAATATACAAGGATATATCATGAGGTATCCATTTCTTGTACACATTAATTTTGTGTGTTATGTGTGTCAAACACAACACTATAAATCCTACCCATTTTTTGTGAAATAAAAAATTTTGCAAAACATGGACTAATGTTTGAAATGGCCTACATTCATAGTGCTGTGTAGTTATTAATTGTGATGTATACATAACTCAGGTTTTGTATTTATTGTTGACCTTTGACATTTGTTGTAACCTTTGACCTATCAAATGGCTGTTGTTTATATTGTAAACCAAATTTTATTTTATCTGTTAAGTTTCTTCATATTGTTAGGCTTTTCATAAATAAATATTCATGCTTAAATTATCATTAATAACTGCAATAGTGTATTGTTAAAAATATAGTTGTTCAACCTTTAAAGGTCATTGGAAAATTCTTCTGTTTCTCATGCTAGAATGTATCATTCAAAAAGTGTGCAATATGTTAAACTCTTTTTATGAAGTTTTTATTGTTAAATCTTTTTTTGTGATTTGAAAATTAGGTAAATTTAGTCAATTAAATAGTACGACAGAAATTACATACATGTTGTATACTATATAAAATAAAAAAATTGGGTGCATTTACAAAACAATAATTCTAAATTAAAAAGTAATTATAGATTCCAACCATGCGAGACCCTCATGGGGTGGGTCTCATTGGGGTCTAAGCGTGACCTAGGATTGCTGATTTTTTTGTAAGCGTGACACGTGAAAGTCAAATTATTGTGCCGTGAAAACGGGAAATGAAGTCTAGCGGGACACGGGAAATTACAAAAAAATGAGAATTGTTTATGTACATAGTGTAAGCCCGATACAGGAATCTGACAAAACAGTAAGCGGGATCCGGGATCAGAACCCCCCAATGAGACCCCCCATGGGTAGTCAAGGTAGTTAAACACCCCCTTGTAGTATAGATGATAAAGACAAACATGAGGTAAAATTGCAACAAGGAAAAATAGAAAAATTACTTGACTTTAAATGTCTTTATAAAAGTAATTATACATAGCACTCATTACTGTTTTGCTAACTCCTGTGTAGATAAATTATTACACAAGTGTCTTTTGGACACATAGTTTGTATCGATATTTTATAATCTTTTTTCTTGAGCCTTCTTCTTTAGCCTTAAGGCTAAGAGGTTTTACATTAAGTAAAATAAGATGAGTTAGAAGAATCCCTTTAACCAATTTTAATTAAATATTAAATAAGTGCCTCTTTGTCATAAAAAGCTGTATGGTAATTGGTTACTGCAATTAATTATTTGGAAACATATAAGGCAACCATATTAATACATTGTTTTTAAAAATAGGATAAATTGCAAGTTAAAGGTATATTTGAATTTAATGTTACCAGCCCTTGTGGTAAAATTACCTACTTAAAGTAATATAAACATATTCCATTCTTCTATTGTTAAAAAAATAATTGTTTAAATGTTTACATGTCCTTCATATAAATATTGTATTTTATATATCATGGTGTGTTACTCTACACTTGATTATATCTATTGCTGCTAACAACACTTTTTTTCTGGAATAGTGTAATGATTGATAAGAATCCAGTATAATTAACCACATATTGCTCTGATCATGGAAGTATTATATTGACAGGAACTCCAACAAGCGGACTTCAAACGTTTATAGTGCGATGCCGCAAAATCGTTAAGTATCTGTTAATTAACTCGACTGTCTTATGGATGCGTGGGTTCCGATAAAATTTTTGGAACCTCGTGAATGATCGTAATTTCGGAACATACCGAAATAACCGGATGTGTACTTAATTGTCAAGGAAATGACATTTACCGACCATGTGAATGACAAATATAATGTCAGTTTTTACGGGTTTTGCTGCTTAAAAACAAATAAAAAGAAAAGAAACGAAACGAAATCCCCGCGACTGTTTTCACCGTTTAAAAAGACAAAAAAAAAAAAAAAAAACTGAAGAGTAAAAATACTCACAAGCCATAAACATTTCAGTTTAAGTTACAATCAATTTTAAAATAGTAAGATTTATTCATGAGAGTGCCGTTGGCTAAACACGCGTAACTGTTATATACAAGTTAGGCGTGAAAATCATAAAATTCTCATGTAAAGTAAACGGAAAAGTTTTTATCAGTAATTATTATCGCGTTTTACTGCTAACTTTGACAAATATTTTACTGAAGTGTTTAATGAAAGAATTTCCAACAAAAATTTAATCCAAAAGTTGGCCGGGGGGGGACGGGGTTAAAGAGCTTTGATCCGAAAAAATATCAAATATTTTGATTTATTGTTTACTGAAAGTCCAATGGCAAATATTTCATGCAATTAAACAAGAAACAAAATCATAAATTGCTTAGCACACGGTGTAAGATGTTTCAGAACTGTTAAGCTTTTTAACACATAAATAAATTCTAATTTGGTATGAGAGGTCATCACATGCGTGTAATTATTAACCTCTTTTAGTCTTTAAAACATATTTGATAAATAAGTAAATAACATTTTACGATATTTTACGATAGAGAAAACCATAAATATTTGTGTTACACTCGATAAAAGTTTACAATCTTTAACTTAAAATTTGAGTTATCCGGCACCATCCGGCACATTACACGCGCATCACATTATTTTTTGCAAACACTCTACTTCAGAATCATGTAATTTTCCTAATCGGATATTTCCCGATTTCCAAGTTCCAATGATTAAAACATACTCAACAAAACTAAAAATAAGCTTGCCCTCTTTCCGAATGCAGTTAATTTTCTTATGTCATTCTGTTAACTATGGACCGATTTTTTCGATCTTTTCAGCTTTGTTCTTCATTTATTGAACGGAAACAGGTGTTGTTATTCATGTGGCGATTCACAAATAACCACGGGAGTTTCCGTGTTTATTTACATTGGTAGGTAGATAAGACAATCGATACCAAATCACGTGATAAGACCAGCTAAAGTTAAAAGAACAGGCGAAGGCGGCATCACAGATACCCCACAAAGGAGTTATCACGTACTTGACAAACTGAGTCGGAACCTTTTATTTTCTTAAAGAAATCAGTGGGATGGGAATGTGCTAATTTTTCGTTGGAGTTCCTGTCAATATAATACTTCCATGCTCTGATGTACAGTAATTTATTATTTGCATCTGGCATACAAAATTTTAATTCTGGTATCTATGATGAGTTTATTTATTACTGATTTTACTGTTTTAGTGAATAATTAGATGGTTTCTGTAATTTAGAAGTATTTTATTTACTGCTGTATCCCTCTCATGTAATTTTACTGTTTTAGTGAATAATCAGATTGTTGCAGTAATTTAGAAGTATTTTATTTACTGCTGTATCCGCATCATGTAATTTTTATACGACCGGAAAATAAATTTTTGTGGTCGTATATTGGTATGACGTTGGCGTCGATGTCGTCATCGTCGTTGTCCAAAGACACATTAGTTTTCGCACTCTAACTTTAGTTTAAGTGAATGGATCTCAATGAAATTTTACCATAAGGTTTAATACCACAAAAGGAAGGTGGGGATTGATTTTGGGGGTTATGGTACCAACAGATAAGGAATTAGGGCCCAAAAAAGGGGCAAAAAATAAGCAATTTTGTAACTTCCAGACATAACTTGTTTGTAAGTGTATGGATCTCTCTGACATTGTACCACAAGGTTTCATATCACAAAGGGAATGCTGGGATTGATTTTGGGGGTAATTGCCTCCAAATTTTAGGAATTAGGGGCCAAAAAGGGGCAAAAAACAAGCATTTTTCTAGTTTCCTGACAATAACTTGTGTGTAAGTCTATGGATCTCTCTGACATTGTATCACAAGGTTCCATATCACAAAGGGAATGCTGGGATTGATTTTGGGGGTAATTGCTTCCAAATTTTAGGAATTAGGGGCCAAAAAGGGGCAAAAAACAAGCATTTTTCTAGTTTCATGAAAATAACTTGTGTGTAAGTGTATGGATCTTTATGAAATTGTACTACAAGGTTTCATATCACAAAGGGAAAGCTGGAATTGAGTTTGGGGGTAATTGCTCAAAAAGTTTAGGAATAAGGGGCCAAAAATAAGCATTTTTCTAGTTTCCAGACAATAACTTGTGTTCAAGTGTATGGATCTCTCTGAAATTGTACTGCAAGATACCATACCACAAAGGGAAGGCTGGGATTGATTTTGGGGGTAATTGCCTCAAAATTTTAGTAATTAGGGGCCATAAAAGGGCAAAAAAACAAGCATTTTTCTAGTTCCAGGACAATAACTTGTGTGTAAGTGTATGGATCTTTATGAAATTGTACTGCAAGGTTCCATATCACAAAGGGAAAGCTGGGTTTGAGTTTGGGGGTAATTGCCCTAAACGTTTAGGAATTTGGGGCCAAAAAGGGGCCAAAAAACAAGCATTTTTCTAGTTTCCAGACAATAACTTGTGTTCAAGTGTATGGATCTCTCTGAAATTGTACTGCAAGGTACCATACCACAAAGGGAAGGCTGGGATTGAGTTTGGGGTGATGAATCATAAGGGGGTTCAAAACATTTGGGGGGGGGGGAATTTTTTTTTCCTTTATTTCCCTTTTTTTTCTTTAAAATTTTCTACTTTAAATTGGTTATTTCTGATTTATATATAAAAGCAAATAATAATGATATGGTTTGAATAGGTAAATTAAAATTGTTTAAGTTCTTAGACCACTTTCATTCTGTGTCAGAAACCTATGCTGTGTCAAATATTTAATTACAATCCAAATTCAGTGCTGTATCAAGCTTGAATGTTGTGTCCATACTTGCCCCAACTGTTCAGGGTTCGACCTCTGCAGTCGTATCAAGCTGCGCCCCAGCGGAGCATTTTATTCTGTTTTAGTGAATAATTAGATGGTTTCAGTAAATTGGAGATGTCTCACAGCGTAAATACATTGCTATTGTCTCTTCCTGTCTGGCTATAGTCTTCTTTTGAAGCTATTCATACAATATCCATGTGAAATGAAGGTAGTTTTATCAATATTTTTGTTAAGTACTTCCTTGATGACCATAAATTTTAAGTCTTGGTCCTCGAAAAAGAAATTTTATTACAATATTATTTATATGGTACCCTAATATGCCTTTACTTTCCAAGGGTTGAATTTTTTTTATTAAGAACATTCATCATAAAATTTTTGTAAGATTCCTTACTGGTTGCCGTCCCTATTTTAATAACAGAATAAATAGTTTTATAAGTGGTATTTTCTTTTCAAAGATTTCGATGTGTCCTGTTTTGAATCAAGACTAAAGACACAATTGATAAATTATCCTCTTTTTCAATGAGAAGTAAGCACTTAATAAATTAAATGATGTGCTATTTCATGTTTGGATAAAGAGAGATGAAACCTTAGACTATAAAAAGTCTGTTTAAGTTAATTGAATAGCAATTGTGCTGAACTTATTTCAAGATATAATTGTATAAAAAAAAGTAAATGGGATTTAAAAGTTATTAAAAAATTACAATACTTTTGGTAGGTATCGAAATGCAAAAATTAGGTATGATAGGGAAGAGTAAACAAAGGTTTCAGTCTAAATATTTCTTTATCAAATGTTTTATAAGGCAGGGAACAGCTGGTAAAATTCCTAGTGTTAACAATTTAATCATGAATTTATATAGGCAGCAGTTCTATTTATAAATGGTTTGCTATGCTTTGTAAATATTGATATTTTTATAACTTATTTGCTGCTATATGCTGTGTATGTGTGAAAAACATTGGGTAAATATAGTGTTCTGTTGCAAATATTATATGTATATTGTTATTGTATAGAAGTATATATTTATTTGTGTAATATAATGAAAGATATTTGGCTGAATTTAGAAAGGTTTTGAAAGCATTGACTTTTGTGAGATTTGTTCTTCAAGGTTAAAATTCAAACATTTTTAAACTGTTTTTCCAAATCTGGTTATTGATTTGGGATGTCTGACATTAATCAGATTATTGATTTGGGATATCTGACATTAATCAGATTATTGATTTGGGATGTCTGACATTAATCAGATTATTGATTTGGGATGTCTGACATTAATCATATTATTGATTTGGGATGTCTGACATTAATCATATTATTGATTTGGGATGTCTGACATTAATCAGATTATTGATTTGGGATGTCTGACATTAATCAGATTATTGATTTGGGATGTCTGACATTAATCATATTATTGATTTGGGAATAGGCTTGCTGCTTCAGTTGATTCCGTGCAATAACTTTTGAACTGTTCAACCAATGCTTTTCAAATTTCAATATGTTGTTACTGATGACAAAATAGAGGTCTAACTTAACAATTTTTACTGTTGAGGTTGAGAAGTTATGGTCCTTGATTGATTGGGAAATCACTTTTTATTTTGTTTCTGTGCAATAACTTATTAACCATTTAAACATTAATATGTTGTTATTGAGGTCAAGTTTGAAATTGTCATTTTTGCTGTTCAGGAGTTATGGTCCTTGATTGATTAAAACAAGTCACTTTATATCATTTCTGTGCAATAACTTGATATTTGTATTTGAAAGAGATCTCAAGATAGTCACTTTAGTGGAAAATTTTAATGAATGCCTGAAAAATACTAACTGAAGGTAAATGCTAAATTGATAACATTGTAATGAACTTGACTGTAATTTTTGTGTGGAAATTTTGCATTAACCTTAATTTTTGTAGATGTCCTTGCTAGACATTATCCCAAATCATCAAGAAAATAGAATTTTATACCACCTCTGAATCTCCAAAGAGAATTTATGAGGTATTAATGTGCTTGGTTCACACATTTCATTGCATTAGATATATATCCCCTTAGTCATATACATTAAGAACATATTTTCCCATTTAGTGACAGTCTACACATGTTTCCAAATAAAGACAAGTATTAAATAAGAGCCTTTATGGCTATTCATTTTAGGTCCCTTTCGTCATACAGCTCATAAAGTTTCTAGCTATTTATACATCCCTGGCTTTCAAATATTTAGATTAGAGCGTTCCAGTTGAAGGTCAAATCTAGAATAGCACTTCAAACGCACAAAATTAATAAATTGTTATATGCATATACCATGCAGAAAATTGATAATTCTAGAATTTAGTTTAGAGCATTTAAATGGTAAAAATAATACAAAAATTCTGTGGTAAATAGGATTTTACCTTATTTAAGTTGAAATATTACGATCACTGTCATTATAAACAGAAATTGTATATCTGCTGTTGTGTAGCCAAAAAAATTGAACAAGATTTGTTAGTCCCATTTTGTATGAATGTAGTTAATGTAGGGTTTCGGAAGCATAGCTTTTAGAGTAGTTTGAGACCTTGTATGTTTTTTGTGATTTATCAAGCAACACATCTGGTAGTTATAGGATAGCTGAAAACAGATCTTGTGAGCTATATAAATATAAAACTTAATTGTGAATTAAGGTTAAGGAAAGATTGTCTCATTACTTGTTTCATTTATTCTATGATGTAATTCCATGGTAACAATTATAATTTCCAATAATACAAGTAATGGGGGTTTTTTTTAAGTAAATTTTTAAAATATTTTTTTTACTCTAGTAGCATAAGGCAATATTTAATATCAGAAATCTCTTATGTATATCAGTAAAGTTTTTATTGGTAAAAAATAATTTTTTTATTTACACGCAACACAGTCACACAGTCATTACCTCTAATCATGCATTTAATTGTATGATTATCTTTGTGTTCACAGTAGAAGTAGTACACACATTTGTTCTCACCAAAACACGATACTCTTAGTTCCCAATGAGTGGTTAAGTCAAGCACTGATAGCTTTAGGACTGAAGAGCTTGCATTTTACATTCCAATTCCTAAGGAGGGGATGCGGTTCATTAAATCTTGAGGTCAAGCTCACCAAACTGCAAAATAAAAAAAACAATTCAATGGAAGTAAGGCTGGCTCTCGTACTCAGTCTACTTTAAATGTGATACAATGGTTCTTTGAAAAATGAAAAAGGTCACATGAAGGCAGTAAATCATTCAGTTGGTTGGAATTTGAAAAAGTGACTCCCTAAACTTTGCAGTGCTTTTGTAAATGTTTAGCAGCAGTACACAAATCAGTGAAGGGTGTATCATTTATTTTCCTAAGAACAACATTTTTTTTATTACACATGGCTCTAAGCATTCCTAATGAAGATAAATCAAGGAAATGTACATCATATATGAATGTTTAATTATAATGGACTTTTTTTATTTTTATTATTAATAGTAAGGTATATGTGACTCTTTTCACCAAAAATTTTACAAGAAAAATACTCGCAAGACTTGAACTTTTCAGTAAAACTAGCGATTGATTTTGATTGTTACATTTTTTATGAAAAGAGCCCTTGGGCTAGAAATTAAATAAAATTATGATATATATTATAAATAATAGACGACCTGCTTTTCAAAAAAATTATAAAAAGAGGATTGCTATCATATAATTGTATTTTGTACTCAGAGCTGAAGCTTGGATGCACTTGCATTTTTTAGATATTTTGATTTGAATAAAAAATTATATTTCAATAGTGATTATAAGTGTATTGAATGAAACATTGATAATTTTTGTTTTGTAAAATGATTTTTTGAAGATCTAGATCATATATTTTTTATGACATGAATGGGCAAAATGAAAGAAAAATAAATAATTTTGTTAAAGAAGAATAATTGTTAAATATACCGGTATACAAAAAAACTGAGATAAAAAATTCTCAATCCATGTATTTGTTTATGCATAATATATGTATTTTTGTTGGAAAAGTTTACACAGTTTTATAACAAGCTGGTTATGTTTTTGTGGTCGTCATACATACTGTCAATAAACTATATACAATATTGTTTCATAGTGTGTTTGTGTAGACAATGTGGGTTTATACCATTTTCTTTTTTTAGCCAATATAAACTTCCCTGACTGGCTGATTATTTTTTTTATGATCACCATTTGGTTGTCTTGTTCTCAGTATTTCACTGGTCAACATTTATTGCCTTCCTATGATTTTGCTATAGACAATTTTCATATTACTGACTTTTGACTCCGGATTATATAATTTGTCGACTGGTTACCTTGGACATCATGGTACTTGGTCAAGTAAGAGCAACCAAAACAAGTAAAATCAAACATATAATTGGTGTAATTTGAGGGGAAAGTTAACTGTTTTCCGATGATTTTGTAGTGAAAAAAAAAAGTTGAGCAGGTAATTTCCCCCCAAAATTGTACCGATTGAACGCTTGGTTTTACTTCTTTAGCTTGCTCTTACCTGACTTGGTACTATGATGTCCAAGGTTACCAGTCGACAAATTATATAATCAGGAGTCAAAAGTCAGTAATATGAAAAAAGTCTATTGTGTGACATCATGCATGAAGAAAGTTACCATGCCTGATTGTGTATAAAGGAAAGGACTATGATTTTTTATGGGTTTTATACGGCCGCAAAAAAATTTTTGGGATCGTATAATGGTATGATGTAGTCATCGTCTTCGTCGTCTGCGTCATTGTCCGAAGACACATTTGTTTCCGGACAATAACTTTAGTTTAAGTTAATGGATCTCTATGAATTTTTTTTAGAAGGTTCAATACCACAAAAGGAAGGTTGGGATTGATTTTAGGGATGATGGTCCCAACCGTTTAGGAATTAGGGGCCCAAAACAAGCATTTATCTAGTTTCAGGACAATAACTTTTTGTGTTAAGTATTTCAATTGCTCTGAAATTGTACCACAATGTTTAATACCACAAGTTGAAGGTTGGGATTTGTTTTAAAGGGAAACTCCGCAAAAAAATGAAAAATTGATATTTTGTTCTTTAAGCATAAAAAACCACATGTTCATAAATAAAAAACTTTTATTCTCTATGAAAAGAGATCAAAATCGATTTTTGAAATTCACTATCAGTTCTCGACAGATCGCCATCTTGTCGGCATGTTCGATCTAAAAAGTCACGTGATATCTATAAACCACAAAGACCAAAATGAATCAAGGATTTACCGACCGTGCGTTAAAAACTCCCATCATCAATCGGGAATTACCGTAGATGATCACCCATTGTGAAAATGTCTTATCAAGCGTACGGTTGTTCTGTCCGACAAGGTTATGACAAGGTTATGATTAGTATAATAGTCCCAGTTGTAACAATCACTGATTTACAAAAGATTCATTAGTATGCCTCTTTTATATAAAGTGCATTGGTTTATATAAAGAATAGTTCCGTATTTAGTCAAGATAATTTTTTAAATTAATAAAGTTATACGATAAATAACATTTTTAAATTATGATATTTAACGGATATTGACGGGGAGCAATGTTAGGAAGAGGTTTTAGCTAAGACAAAATATGTTGATATAGTATAATATTCCCAGGTTATAGAAATGTAAATATCGAAATATTGAACATCTCAATTTTTTATCAAAAAAGTTTTTTAACTAATCTTTTAACTATATCAAATTGATACGGGATCAATTCGGAACAGTCACTTAAAAAGACACTTTACAGTTAAATGTGTGACCCTATCTGGTATGTTTGGAAAAAAATTTATATTTTTTTTCTTTTTAAATTTATTTACGTTATCTTATTATATATATATATATATATATATATATTTTGGCTTCCTCCCGAATTGATAAAAGGTATGTCAGAATTATTGATAGATGTCGTGTCAGAGCGACACATTCAGTTAGTTATCCCAAGGACGTATATTAGATACACGTCCTTGGTTATTCCAGTGACATCCTGTCGACTAAAAATTCCTATTACACATTATATTATACAGGTTCATGCATGGCTTCTTAATTGAGGTACCCGACGTGCACAGGTAACATTTATTGAACCACATATATGTGTATTCGACGTTATTTATCTTGTGCGTGTTTGAAATTATAATTCCACCTGTTAATGAATGATGTTCTGATAATAATATTATCCACTATTTTTGCTGATAATAAGTTTAAAAATTTTATAAACATGATCTTTAAAAAAATTTGTGAAATACATATACGGTTTTGTCATGATTCTGGACCCTTCTTTTGAAAAAAAATTCTTCACGCAAATGCAAGCTTTTGACGATTGGCAAACATGCAGTATAAAGTAATGCAGCACTTATGGTCAGTATCAAATATTTATTTATTGACGATAAGAGAGCTCCTTCTATGTCTAATGTCCGTATCTTTATACGGATTAGAACGACAGGGGAAACAGTCACTGTAAAGGAACGGAGATAGAGTGGCATAGTGAAAAAAAAATAACCGATTAGAGAAAATTATACTACATAGAGAATGATCGACGAAAAGGGTAATAGTTATTGTAAAGGAAAAGAGATAAAGAGAGGCATAGTAAAAAAATGTTTGCTAGACAAAGTTACTGCTCGCTTTGATATTTTTATACAAAATCACACATCGTGTTCCAAAGAATGTAGGACAGAAAGTCACAGGACAAAAAGTCACGGACAAAAAGTCACAGGACAAAAAGTCACAATTCAGTTTTGAGATTATTTTTCTTTGAACAAGAAAAAACTAATTTAAAAAGAAATATTTTGGTTTTTTTCTTAAACTATTATTTATAAAGCAACTTTGTTATTAAAATTTATGCAATAAATATTAATAATGATCAAATAATTGCTATGAAAACAAAATGTCAAAGAGGCTTGATCCTTAAATGGCTTCATGGTGCCAAGAAATATATCCTTTGCACGATTAAAATTTAATAAATTTTCATTTATCAAGGCTTATGAACAATTTCCTAAACTTAAAAATGAATATATGTAGATTCACTTCAATAACGAATTTCGTCTATATATTTGTGACAATTCACGTGCGCTAACTTGATGTGTTAAGTTTCTGCATAGCATGGTTAAAAATAATTAAGTATCCCATTTGTTATATCGTAGTGTCACTGTGTTTCTTTGTTCAATTTATTTAGTTTGTTAATGATTATGTAAATAAGAATAAATCTGTATAAAACTTCATACCCGTTTAGTTATTGCTTGTAGGCGTTTCATTATTGTTACATTTAATATATATATAGAATCTTTCATACATCTTAAAGTAAAAGATGTGTGTCTGAGTCAAACGGCGACATGAGAAGCCTGTATACTAGTACGACTCGAGTATAGCATGTAAAAATCCTACTCAATATGGTTGTATTGGAAATCTTTTCATACAGATAGATAACTCATAGTCCGATATTTATGTAATATTTGCCACATGACGCTCATATTTCTTTCTTCTATCATCATCTTATTCATTAAATATTGCTGTAAACATCGATGGTTCACACCCAAACCAAATGGGAGTAATATACCTTTAGAGCTTCTCCGTGGTATACACTTGTCACAAATATATAGACGAAATTCGTTATTGAAGTGAATCTACATCTCACAAACACAATTTTTGAATTACGATTTTGAGTGAACACCCACCAAACCAATACAAAATGGCAAGATATAACCATGCAGGCATTTAGTTTTCGTCAGACACAAGATAAATAATACGCTCATATTGCTTTCTACTACCATCATCTGCTTCATCAAATATTGCTGTTAACAACGATGGTCCACACAAAAAAAAAAGGAATTATATACAATCAGAGCTTCTCAGTGGTATGCACTTGTGAAATATATAGACGAAATTCGGTACTGAGAAGTGAAATTACATCTCACAAACATTATCTTTGAATTACGATTTTGAGTGAACACATAAACGTACATGCATGCAGTTTATGATATCAAGAATAAGAGGTCGATGTCTGTAGATCATTGTTCAGTTCGTTTACCGACTGTTCAGAGTCAGACATGTCACTTATTCATTCTTGGAAGCATTCGTGTACCCCATCCGACGATAGGAACTCTTTTCCGATAGTGTTGACAACTATGCTTGTATGGTGATTCTGTTTTTCTGGGCAAGTGGTTGGCCTCCCCTGACCCAACAAACGAACGATACGCTATTAGTCTGCTTTGTCCTTTAGAAGAACATCTGGAGCTCGCCTTCAACGGCGCTTATACCTCAGGAAAAGTATACTAGTACAGCTTGTTTCAAGGAGACGAACTGTTCTAAAATCGTCATTGTCAGCAATACATTACTAAGCTATGCCATTAATTACTACAATTACTATTTTGGATCAATGACGGCTACCCTGTAGAGTATTACACTAAATCATAATATAATATAAAAATGATTATATATAATTTTCATATGTTCAAACCGTTAAAGACAATTGGAACACCTCATACAAAAAACAAATCAAAAGAAAAAAAAAAGAAAATAAAAATTTCCAGACGGAATAAACAATTATTTTAATAGCTTAGATTTATAATGAATGAAATAAATGATAATTGGCATCCTTTTCACAAATAATTATTCTAAGAGATTGTTAGTTGAATTTATTATGTATGAATGAAATTTTAAAAAGAAGATAAAAAATCATGCATGTTGTACTATTGTATTTGTTCAATAAAAATTTTTAAATTGCGATAGTTTTTCGATTGTTAGCATTAAATACAAGTTAAAGAATTCCGGTAAAGTAAATTAAACAGATGTGCATTTATAAATTGGGAAATGTTAAATTAATTTTCTTTTAACTTCATATTCTAATTTTATGCTAATTGCATAGAGCGTAATCGAAAATTGTTCCATTTCAAAATACACTTCCGGAACTAAAAAAATTGAATGTTTATTTTCAATTAATTTATACATTTTAATTATTGTTTCTCTATTGTCATCGGGTATTTCAACACGCTATACTCTTTCTGTTAATCCATTCAAAATGACAACATTCACACCTGTGTACGCTTGAATTCACACCTGTGTACGCCTGAGGCTAAATTGTTGCAAGGTAAAGTTCAAACGAATTC